AGTTGTTGGATCCATCGACCTCGCTCGCTCTCTCTCTTCCCCCCCCTCGCAAAAGCAGCTGTTCCCATCGATCTCAGCCGGGCTCTCAAAATCAATAAGTCAATTACAGTCCCATTAAAATGACATCAGAGCCCTGCTGACCAAGATGAGACCCGAGCCCACCGTTAACTCACCCAATCAACCCTCTGTCCGTTAAGTAACCCTTCTTCTGAAAAACACTCATCCGTTATAATCAGGATCCCTTTGTGCATCTTACACAGGTTTTTATCATTTTACATTTATATTCATGTTGAGTTTACCCAGATTACAATCACTAGCATCACCCTTCTGCCCGGTGTATTCCCTCCAAAACAAACACCTGCAGACACACAACCCTTTGAGTCGGCCCTCCTCCTGATGCTGCAGCTGCTGCATGAGAAGGTTTTATATGTTCTATTCTTCCTGAAAAGCCGACGTTATTGCAGAGCGCAGCACTTTCCAGCACACTGCCGGCGGCGTTTCCTCTGCGCGCCCATAACAGCGAGTGGATCCTACTGCCGGCGGTCACGTCGCCACCGTCTGCGCTTCTGTGTGAGCGGGACTCCATTTGTTTCTGGTGGAATCGGTAGGATGTTCAATTACACCGGCTCAGCTGGTGTGTATAGAAGGAGAGGGTAGTTTAGAGAGTACACACACACACACACACACACACACTCGCACATCCAGTCGAGCACATGCCAAAAGCGTTTCATTAAAGCTCTGCCAGGAGAGCTGCTCGGGCGTGATCCCTTGACAAGCCACAGGCCTCGGCTAAATTACCGCGATGGCAGGAACAAAGGAAGTGGGAGAGAAGGAGGGAGAGAAGGAGGGAGACGGCTATGAAATCGATTCACAACAACTTCTCCCTCTCTTCTGGTTTAATTCCACCGGATTTTTGATGGCTGCTTGAGGACGCCATCAGCAGCTTTAGGAACAGGACGCCAGTCATCGAAACAACGAGTCCTTCAACTGAATTGCTGAGATTGAACAGACGGATGAGAAAGATGTACATGACCTGAAAAACTCTCCAAACGGGAGTTTGTGAATGTTAGCTTTAGGGAGTTTTTTTTATTTATTTACGTGCAGAGCAAACTCCATCACCTTGGAGGACAAATGAAGCTGCTCCCCAGAAGTTGCTTTGGCACAATATCTGCAGCGCAGCTAAAAATAAAGCTGAGCAACACCTCTTCGGCGTGACCTTTTTCACAGTTGCCACATTCCCTTTTCCCGGAGCAGAACTTTGTGGAATACAGGAGGTGTTTTCTTTGTCCCCTTTTGTGCCTGTGTGTGCGTGCGTGTGTGCGATTACTATTTGGCTCGTGAGTGTGTGTCTTTCTTACACAAATTAAAACCCTGTGTCAGTCGCACAGACTGTATAAAGGAAGTGGACGCAGTCACACATTGTTTTGTCGTTGTGGAACATTCTGTTCCGTTTGACATACGGTTGCTTTTGCTCGACGCTGTTTTACCTCTGGTGGTGTGTCAGAGTGGAATTCTTATGTGTGCACGTCACTCTGTCAGCCCTCTGTCCCTCACTCGGGCACCAGGGAGGCTGATGCCCACAGTAATGAGCCGGCACTTTGCAGTTTAGTGGCAGAGAATCACAAAGTCTGGAGTTTTCTGCACTGATAATGGATGTTACTGCAACTAAAAACACTTCCTTCTGCACATCATGTTGCTGAGTCTCAGCTGGATGGTAAAATTGCTCTGTCACTACGATGCAGGGAATGAATAATGAATGTTTAAAGTTGTTTTTAGCTCTTCTGATTTTGCAGTAATAATCAGAATGTAATATTGGCAAAAAGAAGGTACAATTTTAGCTTCCAAAATGCATTTGAATGCACCAGATCCCTTGTTAATCTTATGATGTAACGGGTCGAATTGTAAAAGATCCAAATGGTTTGATCTCTAATTGCCATTGTTTTAACGAACCTTCTCTAGCTGTTAATTGCACAGTGACGGCACCTTGAAGAGAATTGATGCAGAGTGAAACAAAACGCTGAACAATGAGGAAGGTCTCGCGCTGAACGCACACTGAATATATCATATATGAATATATAACAACAAACATGCACATCTCAGGCTCTGAGTGGCTGTGAAAATACACAAATACACACGACTGCTCACAACAAGGCCATCCGTCACGTAGCCAACCGCAATAAAACTGTAAAATTATACTGATGTATTATTGAATCCGGCTCAGCCTCGTCTCAAAACGACCAATGATTCCATATTAACTCACACATCCAATGCATGTGCAAGTAACATAATATGCTCTGAGAAAAAGGGAATAATCAAGTGTTCAGTGTGATTGAATCCCTGATGAGCGCAGACTGAAAAACAGCGTCTCCCCCCACGCGGCTGATGTAATAAAGGTCCATTTATAATTAATGCTTCGGTACATCGGACTAAGATGTTCTGAGAGGTGTTATTTGTTTTTCCTGGTTAAAGCCTTGTTAGCGCAGGATGACGGATAATGTGTCTGCCGAAGGGCGGTATTGGTGGTTTTGGGAAGAGAGAGTGCGTCTGTGTGTGTGTGTGTGTGTGTGTGTGTGTGTGTGTGTGTATGTGTGTAGGCATGAGTCTGTGAGTGCTTGTAAAATCAGAAGTGAGCAAGGCGAAAATGTGGCTTCCACAAATACATCCAGGCATCCTTTTTTGACCACACAAGTATATTTAATCTTACGCACACACACACACACACACACACACACACACACACACACACACACACACAGGTTGTGACTTCCGTAGTTAACGCAGTCTTCTCTGTTTATCGTCATGTGAGGAAAAGCAAAGCTTTTGCTTCCAGGGCTTCTCGAGGACAACGGGGTGATAGAAAGGCTCCCCTGGCTTCGATGTCACGGACCTGAATATCATCAATCCAGCAGGTCCCTCACGCAGAGACTGTAAATGAGCTCCAGCTGGGAGAAGGAGGCTCCTGTAGATTGACTCAATGCTACATTTCCCAGGAGCCACATGAACCATTGCAGTGTAGAAGATATCATGTCTACTTATTGGCGGAAGTTGTCAATGAGCCTCAGTGGAATATCTTCACCTCTATGTTAATCACGAGTGACGGGAAAGGCACAGGTGTGATGAATATAATGAACATGATTACAATGTTTCTCCACTTACAGGTGCATGGCGTCGTGTACAGCCGTGGTGCGTGGCGCATGGTGCAATCCAGCGTAGATCTCATACTTCTGCAAAAAGTGCTTTAAAGGAATTCCTTTGCAGTCCCAACTAGTTATCATAGTTTGCTCTAAATGAACCAGTCCAGCAAATGTTAAAGATAATAGAGTATACTTTTTTTTTTCAAACGTGTGTCTATTTATTTGTCTAAAATAAGTATTATCCACCGTTACGTTGCAGTCGGGTCTGCCACTTGTCAACGAGAGTGGAAACATCTAGCGATACGGAAGGAGGAGGAGGAGGAGGAGGAGGTGAAGCACAGCGAGTGTCTCTGCAGACGACACGCACAGAGGCGGACTGCTTTGACCCTGAGCTCATCCAAACCATTCGAACCGTCCACAGTAAACATGACCGGACACACTGACCCGCCTTTGAGGAAATGTCACAGGCAAAGCTCGCACTCTGTTCTTTTGACAAACATGCAGCCTGTGCGGCCAGTGGTTTTGGTCGCCATGGGGACCGTTTCAGGTGCTTTGGGCTCCACGCTCTGGTCTGATGGGCCTGTGGGTCTGTTTGTGTCTGTGTGTATTTGTGCATTGGCACCGATGAGGGAGCGTGTACTCAGAATATTGATGCGGGCTGAGCTCTTTTTCTGTGATCTTCCCTCTTCTCTTCACTCTCCTCTTCTCTGCTAGTTTCCTTTCCTCTTCTCTCCTCTCCTCCATCACCCCCCCCCTCTCCTTCTTCTTGTTTCCTACCTTCTCTTTGTTTCATCTCTTCTCTTCTCATCTCTTCCCCTCCCGTTCTCTACTCGACTTGCCTTTTTTAGTTTCCCTCCATTCCCATTAATAGCCCAGCTCTTTTCTCTCCCCTCCTCCTCACTGACATTCTAAGTGCAGTTCAGGTCAGACTCAGGCAGCCAGTGTTACCTGCAGACCTGCAGACCTGCGTCTCTAGGCTGACAATTAGAGTAAAACACCATTACAGTTGCTGTCCTGGTGCTTTGTTCTGCCGTCTTTCTTTTGTATTGTGATGAAGTGGGCTTTGAAATGAGAGATTCGGTTAAAGACAGACAGTATGTGACTTTTTAGGGGAATTGTTTTATGCTGACTTATAAGACAAACCAAGAGTCGTTTTTAATGACTCGTTTAATTATCTGAGAAATCTGAGAAAAAGAACTTGTCACTGCTCTCTGATGGACAAACTATAAGACGTGTTTTTTAAAATTTCATTTCTGTTCTGCAATTTCTTATTCAACTTAGAAATTCTGCTTTTAATCTATATCTCATATAAAAAGCGCTAACATCGTTTCATTCTTTATCGTAACTCTAAATGGTTTCCGTAAACTAAATGCACATGGCATTCAAATCTTTCAATTACTAGTAAATGCCAAGGAATTAAATAAAAAAACACATCTTTCTACCACCAAATGTCTTGCTCGCTCTGCCCAGCAACACAGATGCTCTCGAAAGCTTCTGTGACACAAAGACAGAACATTTCAAACTATGATGCGATTTTAACATAAACAGGATCAGCCACTTCTTCTGGCTTCTCACAGGTTGGGACTCATGTACGATATTACGTCCCATCATGTAAACATCAGTGTAACCGATACGTCTGATTCTGAAACCAGAACACAAATCCAATCACACACACACACACACACACACACACACACACACACACACACACACACAGCCACTTGTGTGTAAAGCACTCTAAGCCAGAGAACAGTCACAACACAAATCACTTTCTTATCTACAGCACACAGGTTGAGAGCACAACAACAACAACAACAATGAATAGAAAGCCAGATAAGAACTAAACAAATGGTAAGAAGACCTCACCTTCATGGCGCATCCATCTGTCGCTGGTCCACTCCAACACACATGTGCACTTTGGGTGTGTGATGAGAGAAACGCACAGAGAGGGAGGGGGAGTGTGTGTGTGTGTGTGTCTGTGTGCGTCAGGTGTAAAATCTTTCGCTTCCCTCGGAGTCACAGGGGAGGTCTGACTCTCCGCAGCAAGAATGTGTGGTTTGTAAATGGCCGTGTAATGTGTGTGTGTGAGATGAGCGTGTGTGTGTGTGTGTGTGTGTTTGTGTGTGTGTGTGTGTGTGTGTGAAGCGCTGCTCCCACTGCCTGTTTCTCTGAATGAAAACTCCAACACAGAAGGACACACCTAAATCCTCATACGATGCTCATTTGCTTCCATCCCTCCGTCCTCCGGTCACTTTTACCAACCGCCCTCCTCCCCTCTCCTCTCGATGCTTCCTGTCCTCCCTCCTCCCCGACTCACTTTCCTCCTCTCCTCTCGTCTCACCGTATCGTGTGTTTATCCACCTCCTGCGAACTCTCCCTCCCTCCCTCCATCTCCCCACCCTCTCGCTCTGATAGAAAGCTCACGTTTCTCCGTGCTCCTGTGCAGACACAGAGGGAGGCAGGGAGGGAGGGAGGGAGGGAGGGAGGGAGGGAGGGGAGAGAGAATAGTAGATGGATGGCTGTAGTCTGTTTTTTTTTCCATCCTTGTGCTCTCTCAATTAATCTCCATGGGAATAAAACCCAATTACGCGCAGATTTCTCATAAGCAGAGAGCCACTTGCAAACATTCACACTTTTAGCGACTGCTGCAAAGTAATATCACCCTGAATACATTGTTTCATTCAGCTTCCTGCTTCATCACCTATGATGCAGCAAGTTTGCCATCATTGCACACAAACAGACCGATGCATCAGTGGATTTCATGCAGAAGAGATGCTTCACAGTGGAGTCATCGCCGGAGGATACCGTCCCATGTTTTCAATGTACGCAAAGGCAGCACATGGAAATGAAGGATAGCTCCTGTTCAGATTGTAAATCTTTCAGAGACCGGTTCTGCCCTGCAGTCGTGCAGTGACTCGGCCCGGCCGACAGGAGGCGCTGTTACGCATTTACGACTTCACAGCAGAGCTCATCTCCACGTCGCACGGTGCACACTGCTGAACCGTACACAGTAAAAAACATATAACTGTTTCCCCAAATCAGACAATATTCATTTTTAAGAACTGTTAAATTAATAGAAATACTAAAAGAAGGCCTATATGCAAAATGTAAATGCAAGAAGCATTAACAAATATTATAACTGTAAGTGACACTTTACACAGCCCTCAAAAAGGGCTCCAAAGGATGATCTTGATTTAAAGTTAAAGATGGTTTGTTTGCCGATGAGTGGAGCTGCTCATCTGTACCATCATAACCTCAGTGTTTGTTTCAACAGTATGTGAAAGGAGGATGACGATTAAAATCATCCACTCATATTATCACAACTCTCTAACCAACTCCACCTAAATCATGCTGAGATGCCCAGACATGGATTCTCCTCCAACATCTTTGGTTGTTGAATCTATAATATAGTGTATATCTGCAAGGCTCCTTTAGAACTTCTGGGGATTTAGAGAATATGAAGTGTACGTTAAATTAATAGTCGATCACTTCTCCACGGCTGATTCAATTCTCCTGCTGTGACTATTCCTCTGAAATCTTTCTCGATGTCTTTGTGGTCCACATCAGAGGACCACCCCTCCCGAGGGGAGAGTCATTATAGCAAAGAACTGCCTATAAATAAAACACAATACAGTTAAGAATCGTCATGTACACTTTCAAGCTGCGGTTCTTACCACTTATTGCATGACATAAAACACAAAAATACTGTATATAACAATGTATTTATAAAAAATGCTATTCAACCTTGCTTTAATCTCCGTCTTGAGCTCAGTAAGAGCCAGAGAGGTTCTTGGACAGACGTGAAGCGATAATATACCGATGTTTATGGCAGGTTTAAAGGCTTCTGACATATCGGTGACACGTGAGTTTCACAGATCAGTGATATAATAATAATAATCACACTCATACAACACTTTCCACAACCAAAATAACTTTGGTCTGTGAGTCAAAGGATTTTCAGCTAATTGGCTAATTTGTCTGTGTGTATGTAGAGAGTGTAAGACTGGGAGAGAGAGAGAGAGAGAAAGGTAAGAGGTGTGGAGTCTGACGCCACAGAAAGAAATATAAAAACCGATTAAAATCAATGAGACGAGAGACATTTGAGGCTCACGTGTGGTGAAAGTGACTGATGATGATGATGATGTGCATCCCGGTGGTGCTGAGTGAGAAACGCAGCGCTGCCACAGACCGATGAGTTCACAGAGGGACGCAGCATCTTTTCTCGCATTAGGCATCAGCTCCCTCTGCTGTTGTAAAGTAAAAGTATTTTGCTCTTTACTCGACTGCATTTAATGGAATACTGAGTAGCTGTACGAGTGAAGATTTATTAAAACATGCGATAAGCTAATTAAATCTAATGATCAATACAAAATAACAGAAGCACTACATTTTAATAAAAAGTGCACAAGTTAGCAAAAGCGGACAGAATGACATTTTATCTAATATCTAAATCATCTAATATAATTATAAAGGTATGCATATAGTATAATAACATACCGAAGCACTTTCAAGATTGCGTTATGCCAGAGTGCGCATTTCGCTGATAATGCGTTTATCCAACAATATTTTGTGTTTGATTGACTCTCATTGCGCTGCTGCTCATTCTTCATCATGTCAGCGGGACATTTTCTCTGAGTGTGTCACTGCAACACGTCGTCACTGCAGATGGATTTATTATTTCTCACCTGCACGACCTCAGATGACCGAATGAACGGAAAGAATGGCGAGAATGTTGATTCACGTTGAAATCATTTCTCTGACTCGTCTCAACAACTGGTCTCTGAAATCTGAATCACAGCAGCGGGTAAAAGAATAGTGTCCTTTCTCTCACTATACTTATACTTCCCGGCACTGTCTGTCATCCAACATCCAACTACTTCTTTTTATTGTCTCACAGTGATGAATCAGAGCCGTCTAACGGAAGCGGCTTTACGCCTCAGTTGAGGTTTTGAGAGGTAGTTAAGCTCAAAAAGCTCAAGGGGAGAAACTGTCAGATGAAACTCACCAATTAGACGTGAAAGGAGCGCGAGTCAGATCTGTGCTGCTGTGAAAGTGGCTCATCTTCATTTCTATCAGACATTTTGGGGATTAAATGTTTCCATTGTCTTAGAGATCATCCACATAAAAGATGTGTTTAAACTCCTGCAACTGTTGCAATTGTTTGAATACGTTTTTTTTGTCATTTCATGAATCTTGTTGCCATGAATCCGGAGTGTCTGGCACCATCGGTTTTCTATTTGTATAACTCTCGAATCCATTTGTTATTCTTTGTATCTGTGACATAAATTCTATTGTTCCTTCTGTTCCCCATTAATTGACGAGTGTCAGGAAGATGAATAAAGCTAATTAAAGGGTTACTGTGTGGAACTTTTCAAAGCACAACATCTGAATTTGGCCCTGCGATTGGCTGGCGACCAATCCAGGGTGTACCCTGTCTATCGCCCGAAGTTGGCTGAGATGGACTCCAGCCCCCCCGCGACCCTGTGTGCAGGATAAGCGGTTTGACAATGGATGGATGGAACATCTGAATTTGAGTGAATTCATCTTCCAAATGTCCATAACTCTCCTCTTTCCAGTCTCTGTCATGGTCACTCTCCCGCAGCACGGATGGGAGATGGAGATGTCGGACTACTGTGTTTCCGGCCTCGGGGCCAGTTTGACTGACATTACGGCGCATCACTGAAAACGCAATCAGTGTGAGGAGACGATCCCACTTTGAGCCGGCAACCTTTAAAAGGCCTCTCAGAGATCCCCCAGTCTTTGGTGGAGGCTTTACGCTGCTGCTGGTCTACTCTCAGTCCATCTTCAGAGCATACAGAGCCTTTCAATGCACTAATTGCCCCATTAGAAACCTGAAATGTTGGTTGACCTCAAGTGCAACGAGCATACGAAACCAAGCATGACCAACGTAAGCTAATGTATAATATTCATATCCATAAAGCCATGATCCCAAGACTCATAATACTATAACATCCACTCAGAAGCACTTTGCACAGTTTTAGAAGAGCAACCACAAGTTTATGCAACAGGGAAGCTAGCGGTTAATAGCTCTAAAAGACTGCGAGACAACGACAATTTCACAAGTTCAGAATCTAGAAATGTTGCATTGTCATATTATGATCCAATCGGTTGGTAAAAAAAAATATTTAACACCTTCAGAATTCCCACAAATGCAATCTGTAGTTTGTGGTAAACCTAAATGTTCCCGTTGTATCAATAAGTGCACTTATATTTCTCCTCTTAAATCTTTCCCGTTGTTAAATGTATCTCCCTGCTGAATATTTTAAAGACATTTCCATTACTAATGAGCTTTTTAATGACTAGTAAAAGAACCCGAATCGAGCTGCTAACTCATCCTGTGCTCATCGGGCTTAATGGCAACATTTTACAAAAATAATTAGGGTGTTGCAGAGAGACTTCAAAGTTGCATTTGTCGGGGCGAAAATCTGATAACACAAGCACCGTCCCATCCGGGGACAAGATGTGGACAGCATGCACGTCCCTATAATGTAAATCAGTACCTTTTAGGGAGAAGACTTGATTTAAGATCAAGTGAGCCTTCAGCAAATTAATGCAAGTCAGTGTAACGTCCCAAAAAGTCACGGAAACACGACTCTGTGTGTGTGTGTGTGTGTGTGTGTGTGTGTGTGTGTGTGTGTGTGTGTGTGTGTGTGTGCAGGTCTGCAGAAAGGGGACAGACTGATTCATCATCCTATTGGTTATGCAGCTTTGAGAGCAGCTCTCTGGACATGGCACTGTTCCCCTCCTACATCAAATATTCAACGCACAGCTTTTCCATCCTTTCCCTGGTGCTAAATGTCTACACAGAAGCCCTCTGTAGAACGCATGCATCGTTTACCTACAAGCAGAGTGTCCTGAGGACCGAAAGAAGTTATTTGTGATGTTGAAAATAACAAAGAAAAAATAGACGGGGTTGCAGAGAATTAGGTTAATTACTTTGTGGTAGCAGGTGATGCTTTATAATAATATTACAATATAAAAATGAGTAAGGTTCTTGTTGCACTACCCTTTAATCGAAGCATTCAAGTATCAAGTATTTCTATATATATACTGTATATAACCTCAACATTTTAGCTCTCTGACATTTGTCCCATCCTCTCGGCCTCCTTCCCTCTGTTCCTCAGAACTCACGTGTTCCAGTTTGTCCCTCCTGCGAAGCCAGACGCCGGCTGAGTATTCCTTCTGCTGCACTGCCGTTATTATGGAACTTGCTGGGATCCCGAGCCCTAACCCCTGACCCCTCGTGTCCAGGGTCCCTCGCAGCTCCATGAGGCCGGATGGGTGGGCTCTCAGTCTCGGAGAAAGGAATCA